CCACTTCCTCCCTGAGTGATCCGTGTCAGCGAAGTTCACATTGACCTCAGAAACTTGCTAGGTAGAGTCCTCCGATGTGACCAGCAGTTTGGGCTCATTAGACATAGTCATTGTGACCCAAGTTGAAATGAGATCAGAGGCAAATGTTCGAAACATAATACTAAAAGAAGGTTGCAGCTTTCAGTTACTTTGAAGGAATGTTCGTTGTTGGGATAGTCAGAAGCCCATACTAGGTTGTGAACAGAAAAGATGCAGGGTGCAGAGGCAGAAGGTTTTCTGTGAGACCCTGTGGGGCAGGCAGTGTTTTGTGAGACTGTGGTTATCTTTTATCTTCTGAAGATTTCATGTACCTGGCACTTCTATTGTGCAAGGAAGATAGATTCTCACTGATGTCCATTTAAAATGTGCAGGGTCTATATAATAGTCATGGGGTCCATACAATCACAGTTATGTATTTCTTCACTTGCAAGGCTCTTAAAGTCCAGGTATGGTGGTAAGAACCTGTCATTCCAGCACTGGAGGAGTGGAGGCAGGAGGATCAGGAGTTCAAAACCAGTTTCAGCTACATAGTAAGTTCAAGGACAGCTGGGCTACATGAGACTCAGTCTCAAAATCAAACAAATGACAGACAGGCAAAAGTGGAAAAACAGACTAAGCAATGGCTGAAAAGTTTGAGAATGTATTGATTGCTAACAGTGTCAATTATCATAGTGATAATTAATATCTAATTTATGATACATTCTATTAAATCTTTTATTCTCTCAGGAAACATTTAAGAAAAACATTTCAACTTTTAATTTCTATCAGGCTTATAAATATAAAAGGACTCACGTGATTTAAAATTATCTTTTATTTTTAAAATGTTGATAAAGTGACACTTTTGACATGTTCCCTCCAATAAATCCATTTTCTTAGAACTAGAGAAAAAATTTTTTTTGTTTTTCAGCTGAGAAACATTCCAAATTGCAGAACCAAAAAGAAAACCATGTTTCAGTGATTTTCAATGCCATGGATTTATCCATGAGACTGCACTTCCTGCCTGGTGACTGTGGCCAACACTTCTAAATCACACACCTAACACCTAATCTTTTTGCCTGATAAAAGAAACCCATTTCCATTGTATAAAACACTGAGTCCAAGCAAATACTCTGTGTCTGTGTCATAGCTCTGCTGTGGCCAGTTTGGGTCGATAAAACATTAGCATCCTTAAATTCTGTTGGCAAGTGTTTCATTGCTTTATCTGTTTCCTTTCTTCTTGCCTCGAACATGGAGGTGATTACTGAAGAGCCAGCAGCCAACCTACATGAGCTAACTATGAAGACAGATACCTAGGATGGCAGAACATCAGGATAGAAGTCTAGGATGGGAGTGATATGGTAGGCCCTTTGGAGATGTTCTAATCTGCCTGTGAGTGAACCTTAACTGAGAAAATGTGTCTATAAGATTGGGCTCAGGCAAGCCTGTAGAACATTTTCTTATTAGTAGTTGGTAGAAGAGGGTTTATCCCATTGTGTGTGGTACCATCCTTGGATTGGTAGTTCGGGTTTCTATAGGGAAGCAAGCTGAGCAAGCCTTAGGAACAAGCTTGTAAGCAGCACCCCTCCATGGCCTCTGTATCAGTTTCTGGCTCCAGGTTCCTGTCCTATGTGAATTCCTCTTCTGGCTTCCTTCAGTGATGAACAGCAATGTGGAAGCATAAACCAAATAAACTCTTTCTTTCCCAACTTGCTTTTCAGTCATGGTGTTTCATCACAGAAAGTAAAACCCTAACTGAGAGAAGTTGGTACTAGCACAGTGGGCGGGATATTGCTGTGGTAGACATGACCATGTTTGGGGTAGGATTGTGGAAAGATTTCTGAAGTTTAGACTAGAAGATTGTCCAGTGTTGAGAGCTCAGTGGGATGTTCTTTGAGAGCTGGGAAAGTATGAATGTGGAGAGCTGGGAAGTGATGGCAAACAACTTTAGTCCCAGCACATGGAAGCAGAGGCAGAGGGATCTCTTAGTTTTAAGCCAGTCTTGTCTACAGAGTGAGTTCCACAATGGCTGGAATACACAGCGAAACCTTGTCAAAGAAGAAGAAGAAGGAGAAGGAGAAGGAGAAGGAGAAGGAGAAGGAGAAGGAGAAGGAGAAGGAGAAGGAGAAGAAGAGGGGGAGGGGGAGGAGGAGGGGGAGGAGGAGGGGGGAAGAGGAGGGAGAGCAGTAGCAGCAGGAGGAGGAGCAGCAGCAGCAGCAGCAGGAGCAGTAGAGAATACAGAAGATGGAGGCCTGGCTTGTGAAGTTTCAGAGGGAAGTTTAAAAATACCATCAGAGTCATTTGCTGTTTTGAAATAAAATTCTGCCATTTTGGTCGGACAGGGCTGTAGAATCAGCTGTGTTTTGTTTTTAATCTCATTGGACTAAAAGGAGAGCACTCTGCTATCTCAGAGTGAACATCAGATTTACATGTGGCAAATTGTCCAAGCTCTGTCCATGACAAGGGTTTTCTCTGCAGAAATAGCGCTCTGCACACAGTGCAACGTACTCCTACTCTGGGCACAAATTTCCTGCCAATGAGTTTTGCCAGGCATCTTTTGCTTTTCTCTGTTTTATTGCCCTGTTTTTATAGGGAGAGTTAAGCATAAACAAAAAACACAATAGGTGATGGTTCAGAGAAGATGTCCAACAATCAAGATATTTAATAGCAGGGCAAGTAAGATGAGTCAGCAGATAAAGATTCCTGCTGCTGAGTCAGCAGATAAAGATTCCTGCTGCTGATCCTTAGGATCCAGATGATGTAGAAGAGAATTAATTCCTGCAAACTGGCAGATTAACTTCTCTACGTGTACTCTGTAGCACACACATACTCCCTCCCCACAAACCACACACACACACACACACACACACACACACACGTTTTTAAAACATTTTATTGGTTCTTTGTGAATTTCACATCATGTACCCCAACCTCACTCATTTCCCCGCCCTCATACCCACCCTCCACCCTCCACCCATGCAACCTCCCTGCCGAGAGAGAGAGAGAGAGAGAGAGAGAGAGAGAGAGAGAGAGAGAGAGAGAGAGAGAGAACAACTCTGTTGTGGAAGCTGTAGTGTGTCACAGCATGTCCCACAGTATACCCTTTTGTCCAGACATCTTTGCTTGCAGATGTTCATTGCAATGACTCATTGGTCTGGTATGAGGCCTCTGGCTTCTGCTACTCTATTAATACTGGAATCTTGCTGAGAGACTCCTCTCAGATATCCTGTTGTTGCCCTGTCTCATGGAGATCTTGTAGTTTTGGACATGTAAGACATGCCCCTTCATGACCTCCAGCACTTGTTGATGGAGTAGATGTTGGGGTGGGTCAATTCAAAGCCCTGGATTTGGGCCTGAGAGGTATCTGGGTCTGTCAGCCCACCAGCTCTTCCAGTACCCACACCACTGGGACAAACTCTCCTGCCATGCCCTGCTCTGACTGTCTTATTCAATGCTACAACCAGCAAGGGTCAGAGCCAGCTCTTCCATTCTCATGCCCTCGGAGCTAGTTCATCCACACCCATACCATCAGGGCCAGCTCTACTGTGCTTCCCAGGTGAGGAGCAAGGCACACTCTCCGGAGTGCTGCAGCAGGGGAGGGATTGAGCTGGCTCTCCCACTCTCTTGCCCTTGGGGTAGAGTCCCTAGCAACCCAGCCCCCTTGAGCAACCAGCACCAGCTCTCCCCTGCTGTCCAGGTCAGGTACAGGGCTCTCTCCCCCAAGTGTTTCAGCTAGTAAGGAACAGGGCCAGTCCTCCCACTATTAGGACCTCTGAGTCAACTCTTCCTCCTCTCGTAGGTAGAGAGGGATGGGAAACGGGAGAAGGACATCTGCACAGCAGACAAGAGGCAGGGTCAGCTCTCTTGTAGTCACACCCTTGCGGCTGAGTTAGGGAGGCTATCTCTCCCTCACCCATGTCACCACACAGCAGACAAGTGGTGGGAACAACTCTCCCACACCCACACCGGCTTGCCAGAGCCCTGCTCCTCATGTCAGCTCTACTGTGCTGCCCAGACAATGAACAGGGCCCGTTCTCGTGAGTGCTGTACCTGGTGAAGAACAGGGCCAGTTCCCCTGCTCTCATGACCTAGGACCAGGTCTCTTGCCTGCTGCAGGTGGTAAGAGGCAAGAGCAGAGTAGAATATCTCTTATCTCTCCCTTGTCTATGCCACTGCAAGGGAAACAAGTGGCAGGGCCAGCTCTGTGAAGGACTTAAGCTGCCTAGGGACCGGGACAGCTCTTCTGCTGGCATGTCCTCGGGGCCAACTCTCCCCTGATGCCCAAGTGTAGGCTGGGGCCAGTTCTGCACAACCCTCAGACATCAACATGACCTCAGGTGACAGCCCAGACCAGAGAGGTCCTCAGGTGGCAGCCCAGACCAGGGATGTCTGTCTGGCCTTTGGTGGTAACTGAACCCTGCTACTGTAGGGCCATGACCCAGATATGTCCCCTGGTGGCAGCACAGGCCAGGACTCCACCACCAACATCACCAGCTACTCACATCAGACCGATCCTCGTTACCTTCCAGTTTTGTCTCTCTTCATTGTGCCCACATTCTGAGTGTCTGGGCTCAGCTCAGTAGAGGTCTCAGGAATGCTATGCCCTACTTGTGAAGTATGACTCCAGAATGGGTCACCTCTAGCATGGTCTGTTCCCCAAGGCTTATGTGGAACTCTGGCTTATGGTCTTTTCTGGCTAGCTCCCTATCTGGGCCTCATGTCACTAGACTAGAGGTTGTTTCAGGCTCACTCCTTGCCTGGGCCTACCCCCCGGTGGCCCCATAGGAGGGTCATCTGTGTCAGGCTCACTCGTACCCAGGGTCATGGTGCCAGGCCAGGTTCTTCTAGTCTCCAGCTCATTCCTCACCCTGGGAGCCTAGCCAGGCTGCGCTACAGTGTACAGGTGGTCATCTCAGGCTAGCTCCCTGTCTGGAGGCTACCCAGTGCCGCCTTGGTGGTCATCTCAGGCTTGCTTGTCTTCAGGGAATGTTAGGCTACTAATTACTCAGATGTTCACAGGTCAGGACACTGAGCATAGACACAGCCTCTCTCCTCTCTGCCACCTGCAGACACACATTTGACACAGCAGCCACCCTTGCAATGCCTCTAGGGGCAGGCACACACTAATTTTTTTAAAAGTAAAACAAAAGCGTTTATTAGTGATGACATACTTTGTTTAAATGCTAATTTGTCTGTATAATCTCTTTTTTTTTCTATCCCTATTTCTCAACCCAACACCAATCCTCCTTAGGCAAAATACGAGTGGGTAAACATTGCCTTGTAGAAACAGAAGCTTTTAATATTTACTTTACTATTCTTGTGCTTCTACTTTCCGGTAGAGGTAAGGGGTGTTTTCTGTCCTTTGGAAGGTATGTGTTAGCCAGTTTTCTGTTACTACTAAAAATATCTGAACAATCAAACTATAAGAAAAAATTAATTTAGCTTGGAGCTTTAGGGATTTCAGTGCATGGTTTATTGACTATATTGTTTGGAAGCCGTGATGAGGAAATACATCATAGTGAGAGTGTATGTCTGAATAAATTTAACCTCTTGGCAGCAGGGAAGCAAAGAGAGAAAGAGGAAGAGCCAGGGACCAATGTCCCTTCAAGGGCACAACCTTAGTGAGCTATCTTCCACCCCCTTGGTTCCACTTTGTAAAGATTCTACTGAATCCCAATAATCTACTCTATGGAACACGATTTCCACAAATGAAACTTGGGGCCATTCCAGATCCAAACTATAGTAAAAGGCTAAAGGTAATTATGATTAGGCAGGTATTCTGAAAGAGAGGAAGAAGGAATTTGGCCTTTGGAGTTCTTAAGATAGTGATTTTTCCAAAAACTAAGACTCAGAGGAGGCGGTAGGTCCATATCCTATGAGTGCTTTGTAGAGTTGGTATGACTTCTGAAAGTTGGCCTTATAAGATCCCTGTGGAAGATGTTCCCTCAATATATAAATACCCCACCCTCATCAGAGACTTCCAGACCCAAGTGCAGCAACAAGAGTCTCTATACCTGAAGACAAACGAAGAAATGGTTGGTAGTGGGTTGTGTTTGTACCAATGACTGGGGCTCCTTCAACACTTCTGGGCCTAGAAGCATCCTATTGTCCTTGCACAATAGGAATGTTCTCAATGAAGGAAAATGGTAACCGAGGCTACATTTCTCGTCAGCCCAAAGGTCTGAGTCAAATTTAAGTTGACAAACAAAAGAGAGATGTAAACATTTCTGCCAACCTACTATGTTGTTTATAAAGGAAATAGATTGCATACAAATCATACAGTAATGATAGAATGACCCCTGGGCCCCTGATACATGTTTTAGCTCTCTTAACATAACTTAGACTTTAGGTTAGTCAAAAGTGATTTAGAAAAAAAGACTATCTTTACCTTGAAAACAGACCTGTAGTGTTCTATTGTGCACTGAACACCTGAATAAGATCATTCTTTGTTAGAATGGTGTGGATGTTACTGTCTCAAGATCCACAGTCCTGGCTTTATTGTTTCCAAAATGGCAACTCTTTCAGTAAACCATTCCTGAACGAACCTGTACAGATTAACAAATGAACATTCATTTAGCAGGTCCATACTAAAGTTGTGCAGTATGTCATACTCATACTGATAAGGTAAGTCCTTAGGTAGTAAGAGTCTGTGTCTCATGTGGGGGTTCCTAGCTGACTGGCAAGATAGGAAACAAATACATTTTCCAGCAAATATAATGAATTATGTAGTTGAGAACTGAGAGTTTCAAGATAGAAGATAGAAAGTGAGAACAGAATTGACCCTTGCTACTACAAATAATGTTTTCTATTGATTAAACAAAATGCACTAAAATGAATTGAAACAGAGCAGCCACAGAAGCTAGTTGGATCTGTTGCTGTCTCTAGTATACATGATAAAACAAGCAAAAGAAGAAAATAGTGACCTTGAACTGGCTTACAGTTCTTTTAAAGTCAGACTCTGTGCATGTGACATCTGTGGATAAATGTCTAATTGTTTTTCATCAATGGGCAGTTCCATTTAAGCCAAACCCATTGCTGAGGCAAAGTAATTTATTTTAATTACATTTGTGGAGAACAATTAGTAATTTTCACGTAATTAAGTTAGAAGTGAAAGGAAATCCAATTTCGGCAAAGTTCTCCTTGTTGGCTTCCTAGTAAGCATGAATATGGCTTGTTTGCTGCAAGCTGGGGACACTGGCCTATTTATAGTGTTCAGATTCTTCTCCTAACGTCAGCTCTCCTCAGCCACTCCCTGGTAATGGTTACCAACATCTCAAATCGCCAACTGGGTGGTAGTACACTTCTGTCTCTTAACTCTAAAACCCAGTTCAATGATTATAAAATGGGGGTGTGGGTATATGCGGAAAGAACCAGCAAAACCTCTCTCAGATATGACAGCATATCCAAGGCTTTCCAGGCCTTCAGGAGTGTCCCATGACTATTTGTACAGATCCTGACCAGCATTTCCTGGGTGAGAGTTCAGGTATGTACATGGCTAAGGGCCCAGTTAGGTCATGTCACTTGAAACTGTCTCTGGAAATTTTGTCCCTTAGAGACAAACCTGTGTAATCACTAAAATAATAACCACAGCATAAAAGAAATGAAAAATTATGTCAGCTAGGAAAAAGCTGGAAAGGCCAGGGCTACAGCTCAGTAATACAGAAGGGCTGAGGGTGACTCCTAATTCACCATCACCTCCACACCTCACCTCAATAATGAAACCAAAGAAAAAGAGGGAAGTTGAATTTATACATTATGTGACCCCCCCACCCCAAAGGTGCACAATTCAAAACTTTTTGGTGTCACATTTAACTGGGGCTCTTGGAAACTGGAACCAAAGGTCACATTGGAAAGAGAGAAACACGAAGCACTTGACATAGAAGGAGTCTTTAAAGGTAAGCTGTGATTGGAAGATCTCTGGGGTCATTAGCAACATCTTATGGTAAGCATGCACTTAAAATGTGTTCTGCAGACTGTAGTTTAAACACATTAGGTCTTAACTCCTCTGAAGTTTTGTTGATTTCTGTTATTGTCTTTACTGGATTTGGAGAATGAGAAAAAAATCAAAAATAGTTAATCTGGTGAGTTGTCATCCAGGATTTGTATATGGTCCTACAATACATAAACAGTGGTTAATTTCAGTACTGTAGAATTCACTTGTTGAATGTAGGGATACGGGAGCCTTATGAAAGAACGACCGTAGCAGCATGAATTCAGGACTCCATTGGGATTTATTCCTCTCTTATCTTTCTGCAGAGGAATGACCCAGGGTTTATTATTGTCGCTATCTCTCTTGAGTTTCAGTCACATGAGTTTGAGGTTGATAATTAAACTTATGTGAAATATGCTCTTTGAAATATAAAAGGAATGTTAAATTATCCCATCTTGGCAACCACATCAAAGACAGAAAAATGTAGAACCCAAAGATCCCCCAGGTAATGTCTAAACCAGGCTTCCATTGGGGAAGGCAGGAAGTATGCAAGGTGGGCTGGGCAGAGCAAGGCGAACAACTTATCTACTGCCAAGGAATATTGGCTCCTATGAAGCTCTTCCTCCAGGACTCCTGATCTACCGCCCTCTTCCTATGATATACTTCATTTACTCCTACCAAGTAATTTTCTTTCAGTAAATCTTTAATTTATATATCTGTTCCAAAAATCATTATTGCTATAACTAATCCAGGAGTGAGTTGATAATTCTAAGTCTTTAAATGTGATAACAAATTTGGATAGATGTCTGTCTTAATTTTTACACTTTGTAGAAGTCACAAATCAGGTATTTCCAAACAAGTAACAAACCAAGTTTCCTCGAGATGCAGCTGTAAGTTTCTTTCTTTGACTTTAATGCTGAGTCGAGAAGAAAATTCTGCATTGGAACATGGTCTTGCTTATATCAAAAAGTGTCTTGTTGGGTGCCTGAGGTTTTTCTGCACCCTCCGGTTACTTGCCAGTTTTTTTTTTTTTTTTTTTTTTACAGTTATGAGAACAATGACCTCATTCTCTCCGGTTGATAACAATAATGGCACACTTTTTATAACTTGAAAAGGCCTCTGCGTATTGATATGGGAGTTAAAATTAACTATAACACAGGAGTCTCCCATTGCATACCTCGCCTTATCTTGTGGAGCAAAAATGAGGGAGATGGAAAACATGCATAGCTCCTGGCTGTTCGGGGCTTTGTCAGTGCTAATCTGTGCTCCTGGAGAAACCTTTATCTTCTCGTTAAGCTCCTGTCACAGCTAGCTAAACTACATTTTGTTGAACATAGGCTAATGAAATGGAATGATCACACTAAAATGGGTAAAATAAGAAGCCCGTTCGGAAGAGGCCTTGACATTTAATTCACAGTAACATGTGATAGGCTAATCAGTGTGAAAATTAACAACTGATGTTCGTCTCTCAGAGATAGCATGTATCTCTTAGCTACAGCCCTCCACTGCATTTTCTGTCCTGAACTCTGTCTAAAATCTACAAAAGGCAGTATTTAAATTAGTTGAGGATTCAGGTATAAGCAAGAATGTTAGCTGAGTTTTGGACCCTGGTATAATAAGAAGTCTGAAAGTGAGAATGTAGTCTTATTTGGTCATACTAGTGTTTATGAATCTAACCCCTATCATCTATGGAGAGAGAGAGAGAGAGAGAGAGAGAGAGAGAGAGAGAGAGAGAGAGAGAGAGA